AGCGGGGACTACTTCGGCGAGAGATCGCTGCTCGTGGACGCCGGGGCCATCGGCTGGGTGGGTCGGATCGAAAGAAGAAGAGAGGGAGCCACGAAAACTGGAAGGTTTCATTGCCCCAGCCACGATATCCACACACCCCTAGTCCTCACCGCCCTCGTTGGCGCCCTCGAGGGGGGGGGCTGGGCGGGGAAGCAGAGAGAAGAAAGCCCATCACCACCACCTACCTCTAATTTAGACTCAGGCAAGTTTAGTTGCATGGCATGCCCCTCCCCCCGCTGGTGGTATTTCAGTCCCGAGGCCCGTTGACATCGCATTGGTTCGGCCCGTGTTTCGTTTGCCGTCTGGTCGGCGCCGTGAGCATGCTGTCCAACACCCTTTCGAATCCCTGCAGTTCGGGCCCGGAGCTGGCAGATGATGTTGTCAACCGATGCTGTGAATGATCCAGTCCGTGGATTGCTAAGGCCTTACGGCCAGTGCCGCCGACCCTGGATACCTCGGCCCTCGAGGGTGACGGGATGCGTGATAAGACGTCGGAGGTAAATGAAGACGTGGCGGAGGAGGAGGAGGAGGAGGAGGAGGAGGAGGAGGAGGAGGAGGAGGCTGTGAATGATCCAGTCCTTGGATTTATCCACTCTCAAGTTCGCCGTGCAGTCGGGCAAGGTCATGGGGGTACATCGCAGGGCCGCTGGGCGGGACGTGGAGCACGCGCGGGGCCGGCCCTTCCCCCTTGGAGGCCTCGGGTGCTCGGGAGGCCTCGGGTGCTCGGGAGCTCGGCGTACCCTTGCGGGGGATGGCCGCGAGGTCGGCCCACGAGTGGCGGCAGGTTTGCCTTGCTGACGGCCGGCCTGTCCTCTGCTGGGGCTCGTGCTCATGCGGGGGTGGCCAGTGTCATGGACCACCCTGGCCCCCCGCCTCGTCCCCACCTTCCGTCCTGTTGGCTCCTCCCTGAGATTTTGTATGTCTGTACCCTGGGGGGGAGGCCCTGTGCCAACACGTCGAACTTGTTGATCTGAATCAGTGCTTTGTCGGAGCCACGGCTCGTAAACCCACGAGGCTATCATCAGCTGTCCCGAGGTCCGCTCTAGAGCCTAGGCCCTCCCGCTGTCGGGGAAGTTCAACCGCCGCCCAGTCCAGCAATAAGTTTTGATGGGCCGGAATCCTGATGGGAGCTTTGAAACGGCGGTGGTTCAGAAGTATCCCGCCCCTCTTTGACGTCTGTCGGGAGAAGCGCGTTTTGCCGTCGCCGAGCCCTTGGCCGTGGCGGGCCCCAGGGGTGAATTTCGGCCTGTTGGCTCGGAGGAGCTGGCCCCATTTTACATGACTCTTGACCCTCACCGTGAGTGTCGACGGTGGGGAGCCTTCAGCTCCGAACTGGCGGCCGTGGCAGCCGCCCCATCATGCAGACCCCGCCCCCCTCCCTGCTCTCTCCTGCTCCTCCTCCTCCTCCTCCTCCTTCTGATGCTGTTGGTGGTGGTGACGGCGACGACGATGACGATGATGATGACGATGATGATGCTGCTGCTGATGATGATGATGATGAGGTTGATGAGGATGATGATGGTGATGATGATGATGCTGCTGATGATGATGGTGGTGATGATGATGGTGGTGGTTGATTATGATGATGATGATGGTGGTGGTGGTGGTGGTGGTGGTGATGCTGATGATGCTTGTGGCAATGGCGATGATGATGCTGCTGATGATGATGATTTTGATGCTGATGATGATGATGATGACGATGATAGCGATGATGATGAGGAGGAGGAGGAGGAGAAAGAGGAGGAGGAAGAGGAGGAAGAGTTGGAGGAGGAGGAGCAAGAGGAGAAGCAGGAGGAGAAGGAGGAGGAGGAGGAGGAGGAGGAGGGGGGGAGGGGGAGGGGGATGATGATGATGATGATGATGATGATGATGATGATGATGATGATGATGATGATGATGATGATGATGATGATGATGATGATGATGATGATGATGATGATGATGATGATGATGATGATGATGATGATGATGATGATGATGATAATGATGATGATGCTGATGCTGATGCTGATGCTGATGCTGATGATGAGGATGATGATGATGGTGATGATGACGATGATGACGGTGATGAGAGGATGATGATAATGATGATGATGATGATGATGATGATGATGATGATGATGATGATGATGGAATGATGATGTGATGATGATGATGATGATGATGATGATGATGATGATGATGATGATGATGAATAATGATGATGATGATGATGATGATGATGATTGATGATGATGACGATGATGATGATGATGATGATGATGATGATGATGATGATGATGATGATGATGATGATGATGATGATGATGATGATGACGATGACGATGACGATGACGATGATGATGATGCTGGTGATGATGATGAGGAGGAGGAGGAGGATCAAGAGGGGGAGGAGGAGGAAGAGGTGGAGGAGGAGGAATAACAATCATAATGGGAATAATAATTAGAATAATCAAATTAATAATGCTGCCACTACTACTACTGATAGCTCGTGCGAGGCCGGGGCGGCCTCTGGCTGGGGCGCTTTGGGTGGCGGCTGGGGCAGGAGGCCCGGGCCGGTAGGGGGCCACATGCGAACCCCACCCCTACCCCCCACGATTTCTGAGGGGGAGGGTGACAGGGTGGGGTTCACTTCGTTCGGGAGCTCCCTAGCCGGGGGGGAGGGGGCGCGGCCAGGCCGGGGCCGTGCCTGGCTGGGGGCCCCGGGCGGCGCGGGGCCGGCGCCCGCTCCGCCGTGCGGCGGCAGGACGAGCCCCGCACGGCCACCATCACCGCCCTCACGGCGCTGGCGGCGTACAAGATCTCGCGGGCGGCGTTCCAGGACGCGCCGCGGCCAGAGCCCTGCCCGCTGGGCAAGACGCTCTGCTTTCCCTTCCCTTCCTTCGGTGCGATGGGAATGAGAAGGAGCAGAGCGGGGACGAGGACCGGCAGCAGTTCCTGCCCGTCTTGAACAGGACTCGCTGATGGCATTGCCGCGGACGCTGTCCGTTTGAGAAGGTGCCGCTTTCCCAACAGCTGGCGCTGTTGGTTCGGGACAACATATGCTGTTGGGCATCGTACCGATTCGATCGTACCCATTGCGGGTACGCCAATCTTCCCTCCCCCGCTCCCCTCCGCGGGGAAGGAGAGCATGCCGGTGCCTGTGCCCATGCTCTTCCCTCGTTTTCGCATTCTTGGGCATCCAGGGTGGGTCCTCGTCGCCACGGCTGGATTCGCCGCGGACTCCTTGTCAGGGCGCACCCGTGGAAGGATCGGGAGAGCAGCGGCATCGCTATCCGTATCCTCTTGTCTTCCCCACCTCCCCCCCTCCCACCTTCCAGTCGGCCCCCCCAGGAACGACGAAAGGATGCACGCGCACCCGAATTCCCACGGGCTTCGCATGCGTGCATCGTGCGAGCGTCGTCCATAGCACGAGGGTGGCCTCGCGAAGGGCGTCGGAGAAGGAAGAGGAAGAGGAGGAGGAGGAGAAGGAGGAGGAGGAGGAGCAGGAGGGGGAATAAGAAGACTACGATTAAGAATAATAATAACAATAGGAATATTATTAATAAGAAAATAATGTTAATATTAAGAAGAACAGTAATACGTAGAAGAAGAATAAGGATAATAATACGAATCCACATAATACTAATAAGAAATATCAGGAATAATGATAATGCGAATAATACTGATGAGACTAATAACAATAACAATAATAAGAGTAATAATATTAAAAAGAAGAGTACTAATACGAGTAATTCTAATACTGAAAAGAATTATGATATTCAGATAACTCATCAGAATATTATTAATCATAAGAGTAATACTAATAATAATAAGAGTAATGCTTAGAATAGTAATTTCAATGCTACGAATAAGAAGAATAATAGTAATAGTGATCATAATCATTAGAATCATAAGAAGAATGATCATAATACTGATAATAATGATTTTATTAACCATAATAATAGGAATAATAAGAATAGTAATATTAATAACAATGATACGAATAAGAAGAATACTAATACTAAGAATAGTAATACGAATGATGATGATGATGATGATGATGATGATGATGATGATGATGATTCTATTATTGATAATATTATTAATAATAGGAAAAAGACTAACCAAATAATAATAACCATACTAATAATACAAATCATAATAATAATAATAATAAGACCAATCATAATAATAGTAAGAACAATAATAATAATAATACTAACAACACACATAAGAATAATAATACACAGAGGAAGATGAGGAGCCGGAGGAGGAGGAGGACGAGGAGGAGGAAGAGGAGGAGGAGGAGGTGGAGGACGGGGGGGAGAAGGAGGAGGAAGGAGGAGGAGGAGGAGGAGGGGGAGGGGAGGAGGAGAGGAGGCGGAGGAGGAGGAGGAGGAGGAGGAGGAGAGGGAAAAGGAGGAGGAGGAAGAAGGAGGAGTCAGGATGTGGTCGTCGGGTCATAACTCGGCCTCTGGGGGCCGTTCGGGACGGTTCCTGCTGCCAAGGAACGCATGTTTTCATCCCGGATTTGGAGGCCCTGTCCGGGCCGGCGGGTCGTCAAATCTTTCGTGTGCTTCGGGTCAACCCGCATCCCGCCACCGTGCTTCGGTTGCGGGTCAGAGTCGCAGGAATGTTTCTTGGGGTCTCTTCGGGGCCTTCTCGGGGGACTCCGGGGGGTGGCAGTTTCAGAGTCCTGGCGGATGCCTCTTGGGGACTCTTTGGGGCACTCTCGGGGGCTTATTGCGGGGCCAGTTGTGGGGCCTCTTGGCTTTTTTCGGCTCTGTTGGGGGCCTTTGGAGTTTCCTGGGGGCATCTCGGGAGCCTTTTGGGGCCTCTTGGGATCCTCTTGGGGCTTCCTGAAACCCTTTCGAAGCCGAGGGCTCGGAACGTCTGTTCGGGGCCCTCTGTTAGTGCCGTATGTGGGGCTTCTCGAACCGTCTTGGGGGCCTCTTGGGCCATCTTGGGGCCCTCTTGGGTCGTTTTGGGGCCCTCTTGTAGTCCTCTTGGGCCGCTTTTGCGCGATCTTGGGGGCCTCTGGTGCCGTCCTGGAGCGTCGGGAAGTAGCAAAACACGAGAACGCCCAAATCTGTCAAAAACCGAAGGCACAATTATAGATTTTGCATCGAGGGGCCCTCTTGGGGAACCTCGTGGGGCGTCTTGGGGGCATCTTGGGCCGTCTGGTGTCCATCTTGGGGTGCTTGGAACGATGTTTCGACACTTTGGGGCGCTTTTGGACCGTCGTGGGGGCCTCTTGGGGCCCTCTTGGCTCGTTCTGGGGTCCCGCATCCCCTCCGTGACGCGTTCGCCCCTGGCCATGGGGAGGGGTCGAATTTCAAGTTTGTGGGCCCAGGGGGGGCTGCACGGGGGGAATTATCCCACACGCCTGGGGACCTACAGGGGGACCGCGGATTTCCACGATTCTGCAGTTTTTTTGTGACGTCAGATAGTCGTCAGATCTAAGAGTCAGGGGGGAGCACATCGACCCCCAAACGCCCGCTCATCGCCGACAGGGGTTTGATGGCCCACCCCGCCCAGCAGTGCGCCGCGCCGCGATCGAAGGCCTTTGTTGCAGATCTTTCGGCGATGCATCGCCGATTCCAGGTCAACGTCCCCCCCCCCCGAGCCAGTCTCCCCGTCGTCCCCCCCCTGAGGGGAGATCACAAGGAGGGGCTCACGACAGGTCGTGGCTCGAGCGTCTGGGTCCAACTGCGACGCAGCACCAGGGGATGGGCGCGATGGGGAGCATCGCAGCAGCATTTTCTTGACCTCTCGACGTGCTGCACACCCAGCTGCCCAGCTGGTTGACCAATGGAAATCGGTTGAAGCACAGTCTGCCCAAACTCCAGAAAAGGTGCTGCGATAAGGCGATTGCGGCATGCGCTTTCGCACGGTGTTTGCAGTGAGCGTCGTTTTACATGGGACAGGTCTCCTAATCTGCGCCAAACTTCGTGTTTGCTCGAGACATGCCGCACACACTATCTTGCACTGAGAGGCGATGTTTGACTTGATCTAGCTCGGGTGAGTTCAAACCACCGTTCCAGCTGGACGCAGAGGTTCGAATCGGTTATCGATACGGTAGAGCCCCTCGCCACTGTACTCGCCATCGTTGTTCTACCGGCGCCCGCCCGCTCTCTTTTCTCGCAATCATTCCAGAATTTGAACCTGCACAACAAGCTTCAGTTCGCCAACCGCAAAGCAGTGGGCGGCCAAGACAAGGGCAAGGTGGAAACGAAGGAACCGCGGCACGGCAAGACGGGCTAGAGGTGAGGAAGGGCGGACGGAAGGGCGGGAGCAGAGCGATCGATCCGATAGTGCGCGTCGGTGCTCGCGTCCACCGCATACCGTCTCTTTCCCGGCGGACTGGGCCCTTTCCCGGTAACCTGGGTTAAGTGCCGCTGGCACCGTAATGGTTGGCACCTTAGTTTCGCGGGGGGCACGCAGGAAAGAGCCCATATGTGAACACTACTACTACTACTACTACTACTACTACTACTACTACTACTACTACTACTACTACTACTACTACTACTACTACTACGACTACACTACTACTACTACTACTACTACTACTACTACTACTACTACTACTACTACTACTACTACTACTACTACCGCTACTACCACCACCACCACCACTACTACTACTACTACTTCTACTACTACTACTACTACTACTACCACTACTACTACTACTACTACTACCGCTACTACCACCACCACCACTACTACTACTACTACTACTACTACTACTACTACCACTACTACTACTACCACTACTACTACTACTACTATTACTACTACTGCTTGTACTACTACTACAACTACTACTACTACTACTACTGCTTGTGCTACTACTACTACTACTACTACTACCAACACTACTACTCTATTACTACTACTTGTACTACTACTACTACTAGTACTACTTCTACTACTACTACTATTACTTCTACTACTAGTACTACTACTACGCCTACTACGTCTACTACTACTACTACTACTTGTACTACTACTTGTACTACTACTTGTACTACTACTACTACTTCTACTACTACTACTTGTACTACTACTACTACTACTACTACTACCACTATCACTACTACTATTACTACTACGACTTCTACTACTTTCTACTTCTACTTATACTTCTACTACTTCTACTTCTACTACTTATACTTCTTATACTATTACTGCTAGTACTAGTAGTAGTAGTAGTAGTAGTAGTTAGTAGTAATAGTAGTAGTACTAGTTAGTAGTTAGTGTAGTAGTAGTAGTAGTAGTAGTTAGTAGTAGTAGTAGTTAGTAGTAGTAGTAGTAGTAGTAGTAGTAGTAGTAGTAGTAGTAGTAGTAGTAGTAGTAGTAGTAGTAGTAGTAGTAGTAGTAGTAGTAGTAGTAGTAGTAGTAGTAGTAGTAGTAGTAGTAGTAGTAGTAGTAGTAGTAGTAGTAGTAGTAGTAGGTAGTAGTAGTAGTAGTAGTAGTAGTAGTAGTAGTAGTAGTAGTAGTAGTAGTAGTAGTAGTAGTAGTAGTAGTAGTAGTAGTAGTAGTAGTAATAGTCGTAGTCGTAGTCGTAGTAGTAGTAGTAGCAGTAGTAGTAGTAGTAGTAGTAGTAGTAGTAGCAGTAGTAGTAGTAGTAGTAGTAGTAGTAGTAGTAGTAGTAGTAGTAGTAGTAGTAGTAGTAGTAGTACGGGTAGTAGGAGTAGCACGAACAATACGAGTATTCGTAATGGAAAGTGTGGCCTTATCCATATTTTTATTGATCATAGTCGCAGTAGTAGCTCTCAAACATTCTCAGAGGCTCGCAGAGGCTTTCAGAGGCTCTCAGAGGTTCTCAAAAGGCACCCAAAGGTTCTCAGAGGCATTCAGAGGCTCCCAAATGTCTCAGAAGCTCTCAGGGTTTCAGAGGTTCTCAGAGGCTTTCAAAGGCATTCAGAGGTTATCAGAGGCTCTCAGAGGTTGTCAAAGGTATTGAGAAGCTCTCAGAGGTTCCCAGAGGCTCTCAGAGGTACTCAGAGGCACTCAGAGGTTCTCAGAGGTTCTCACCGTCTCTCAGAGGTTCTCAGAAGTTTTCAGAAGCGCTCAGAATCTCTCAGGAGCTTTCAGAAGCTCTCAGAAGCTCTCAGAAACTCCCAGGAACTTTCAGAGCTTCTTGGAGGCTATCAGAAGCTCTCAGAAGCTCTCAGAGGCTTTTAGAATCGTTCAGAATCCAACAGAAACTTTCATAATCTCTCCGGATCTTTCGGAATCTCTCGGAATCTTTCCGAATATCTCCGAATCTGTCCGAATCTGTCCGAATCTCTCCGAATCTCTCCGAATCTTTCAGAATCTCTCAGGATCTTTCAGAATCTGTGATAATCGTTCCGAATCTCTTCGGATCTTTCAGAATCTCTCAGCATCTCCAGGCTTTCTCAGAATCCCTAGGAATCCTGCAGGATCTTTACGAAAACTTTCAGAATTTCCCAGAATCTTGTCTAGGAGTCTCTCAGACTCAAGGAACCGATGAAAGTCTTTCAGAATCTCCACGAATCATTCAGAATCGCTCAGGATCTCTCAGGATCTCTCAGAATCTCTAGGAACCTTTCGGAATATTTCAGAATCTCCTTAGGAATCTCCCAGAATCTTTCAGAATATTTCAAAATCTCTTGGAATCTTTCAGAATTTTCAGAATCTCAGAAGCCCCTCATAATCTTTCAGAATCTTTCAGAATCTTTCAGAATCTTTCAGAATCTCTCAGGATCTTTCAGAATCTTTCAGAATCGCTCAGAATCCTTCAAGAGCTCTCGAAAGCTCTCAGAAACTTCCAGAAGCTCTCAGAAACTCTCAGAAGCTCTCAAGAGGTTCTGGGACGCTGTCAGAGGCTCTCAGAAGCTCTCAGGGGTTCTTAGAGGCTTTCAGAACTTTCAGAGGTTTTCAACAGCTTTCAGAATCTATCAGGATCTATCAGAATTTCTCAATCTGCCCGGGAAAAAACCCAGGTTACCGGGAAATGCCCCAGTTTACCAGGAAAAAGAATTGTTTCGCGTCCACCGCCGCTCGATTTGATCTTAGGCCCTGATCAAGGCCTCCGCGGAAGTCTAGCGTGCACCACCCTCAGGGCAGCTGGTGTCTACCCTGGGCAAGATCTAGGTGTGCAGGATAGGGCCGCGCCAATGGCCCGGAATCAGCCGATCTCGAACGATGGGCGCTTTTGGAAAGCCGCGACTGGATGAACGAACCACGCGGCGTCATAACCCAACGCGCAAGTCGTCACGACACGAACCTGCCGTGTCGGCTCCCTGTCAGGCCGGGAGGCCATATGCACCCCCCGACCCCCATAGCTGGCGTTACTGAACAGCCATGGGCATTCACCAGGTGCTCGTGCCCCGTTTGACGTATCCTTCGGGCGCGTCCACGAAATGGCTTCGCTCGTCGGGGTGCTTCTTCTGAGGGTGGTTCTTCATGGTTCTTATGCCACCTTTCTTCGGAAACTGGAGCATCTACGCTACCAGTGGCGGGCTGTTTTGCGAATTTTGGAGGGTCGGGGGCGACGTCGGAGTGGTGTGGTGTATACTTTTGTCCCCGTTTCCCCATAGAAACAGCGAAACGTGTATACACCGAGATCCCATATACACCAGGATCCACTTCCCTGGGCGAGTTCCAGTGCGGGGCCGGAAAAAGCGTCGGTGTATACTCCAGATTTCGTAATAAAAGGGAGGGGGTCTGGACCCTCCAGGACAAGCCATTTCAGACCTCCCCCGTGGGAGAACCCTCCAAAACATCGTCCCCAGACCCCCCAGGCCCTCCAAGATAGCCTGGGAGAGACCCCCCCCGAAATGAGACCCCCCTCCCTTTATTACGAAATCTGGAGTAGAGTTCGGCTCCTCAACCCTGCCTTCTCCAGGACCTGGGCCTGAAACGGGTCCGAGCTGGCCCCTGCGGGGTGCACCTCGGCTTCCCTGCCCGCGTCCGGAGGCCGCGGCCGGCCCCTCTGGGGCGGAGGGGGCCCGTCGCCGTCGCAGCGGCCTTTCGCGGGCCTGGCCGACGCCCTGGAGGCAAGGGGGGCGGATGGCCCAACGGGGCGGGCAGGATGTACACGCCGGTCGTTGAAAGTAGGTATTTTCGGATGCTCAGATCCCAATCTGCTTCAAGCGCCTTCCTGTTTCAAGAATCGGCATGCTTTTGCTGTGTTTTGTTATTCTCTAGGAGGACCTGGACCCGATCCACTATATCCGCCTTCCTACTTCATGTTTCTACCTACTTCTTCCCACCGACGTGTGCCCACATTTGCCGGGGGGGCCTCGTCGAAGTCATGGGCGATTGGAGCCCTTGGATGTGTGCAGGCCTCCCTGACGTGGGGCCCTGCTTCTGGGGCCTTCGGTGGAGCTCCTTGCGAGGCCGCGAAACGTGTGATGGGTGTGCCGAGCCAGGTGCGGGTGCGCCATGCGGACTCTGCCGTTGGGGTCCTCGGTGGAGCTCTCCATGGGGCCCTGAAGTGTGTGAGGGGTGTGCCAAATCGGGTGCGGGTGCGCCATGCGAACCCTGCCGATGTGGTCTTCGGTGCGCCCCCTATGGGGCCACGAAGCGTGTGCGGGGTGGTGCGGGTACGCCAGGCGGACCCTGCCGCTTGGGCCTTCGATAGAGCTCTCTATGGGGCTGCGAAGCGTTTGAGGGGTGTGCCGAATCGGGTGCGGGTGCGCCATGCGGACCCTACCACTGGGGCCTTCGGTGATTGTTCCTTATGGGGCCACGAAGCGTGTGAGGTGCTGAATCGGGTGCGGGTACGCCATGCGGACCTTGCCCCTGGAGCCTTCGGTGGATCTCTCTACGGTGCCACGAGACGTGTGAGGTGTGTGTGTGTGTGTGTGTGTGTGTGTGCGTGTGTGTGTGTGTGTGTGTTTGTGCGTGTAAGTGTGTGTGTGTATGTGCGTTGTGTGTGTGTGTGAGGGGTGTGGTGATAATGATGACGATGATGAGGATGATAATGATGATGATGATGATGATGATGATGACGAGGATGATGGTGATGATGATGATTACGATTATTATGATGATGAAGATGATTGTGTTGATGATGATGCTGGTCATAAATGTGTGTTGGCGACGATGATGATACTGATGGTGGTGATGATAATGATGGTGATGGTGGTGATGATGACGATGATGACTATATGGATAACGATGATGATGACAATGACGGTGATGATGATGACAATGACGGTGATGACGATGATGGCGATGCTGACGATGCTGATGATGATGTTGTTGTTGCTTTTGGTGGTTATGACATGATGACGGTGATGATGCTGATGATGATGATGAGACTGATGATGCTGTTCATGACGATGATGATGATGACGACGAAAACGATTATGATGATGGTGATGATGATGATGTGATGATGGTGATGGTGATGGTGATGGCGATGACGATGGTGACGGTGATGACGATGCTGATGATGACAATGACGATGATGGTGATGATGCTGACAATGATGGTGATGACGATGGTGATGGTGATGACAATGGTGATGATGATGACGATGAGGACGATGATGATGCTGATGATGATGATGGTGATGATGATGATGATGCTAGTGGTGGTGGTATTGATGATGATGATGATGATGATGATGATGATGATGATGATGATGATGATGATGGTGACGATGATGATGATGATGATGATGATGATGATGGTGGTGGTGGTGATGATGATGATGATGATGATGATGACGACGACGACGATGATGATGATGATGATGATGATGATGATGATGGTGGTGGTGGTGGTGGTGGTGGTGGTGATGGTGGTTGTGGTGGTGGTGATGATGATGATGGTGATGGCGACAAGAATGGTAGAGGCAAGGAGAGGGATAAGGGAGGAGGGGGAGTAGGAGCAGGAGGAGGAGAGGGACGCGGGGACTCTTTTCAAAACGGGGACCCGACACCACAGGATGGTTGGGAATGAGACAGGGCGAACGGGAAAGAAACAAAAAAGTGAGGGTGGTGAGGAAAGGAGGCCTCCCTCGTGGGTCGAGGTCTTCTCGGTTCCTCTTCCGGCTTCTTTCCTTGGCAACGTCGTGCAGGACTCCATCGACGCACCCCGGGCTAGTGTATTTTGCACACTCCAGGCTTCAGCCTGGTGCTCGCGTTTTCCCTGTTTACCCCTGAGCCCCACTCGGATGGCCGCTCCAGTCTCGCGGCCGCGGCAGGACAGCACTTGCTCACGCTAACACTGTGCAGATCCTAGAGAGTCCGAAACTGCACCTTCCGCTTATTTCACACGACTTCCGTGGTAGCCTGAGACCGCTGGTCTTTGCCCGAATAACTCCGCGTTCTGAGCGCACCCTTTCGCTCCCATCGAATTTTTGTGTTCAATTCGCTCTTCGACAACGCTCCGACCGCGGTGAGATCGTTCCCACCGCAGCTGACCCAACACATGTTTCCAGCTTCCAGCGTATAGCTGAAGCATCCGCAAACATGCGACAATAACGACACCCTTTTCAGCGGCGCCCCGGCGCAAGGAAATGGCTTGGATGTCAGACACGTCCTCCTTTCCTCTGTCCTCGTCTCCTACCTCGGTTCGTGAGGATCGAGGGTCAAGGTTTCTGGACGTTGTTGGTCCCTTCTAGGCCTCGGGGGCCTCGCCCCGCTTGCGGGGGAGGGGGGAAGCAGAGAGAGAGAGAGAGGTGGGCAGGGTTTTGGGAGGCGACGAAAGGAGCGGCCAGGCGAAGGAGACAAAAGTGTGCAGATGGGAGCGTTCGTGAGAGTGAGGTGGGCGGTGGGTGGTGGGATGCTGAGGGGAGGTTGAAGAGAAGTCGGGATGTGGAGGGTAGAGGGGCTTCAGGGATCGAGCGCACGGGGGCGGAGCACCATCCAAGCGAGGCGCCTTCCAAGAAGACAGATGCCGACGAAAAGCTGATCACGCAGGCATCTTTGCAGCCAGACTCTTCGATTATCACCATGGCCGCTGTCAAGACGTTGATCTTTGCTGCTACGGCATGAGTTACCATGCCGTGTCTCCCCTGGCCCGGAGGAAAAGACAAGAGGCGATCACGATGGCCATGACGATGGCGTGACGACGACTGTGATGGTGATGGCGATCGCGATGATGATGAGGATGATGACTGTGATGGTGATGGTGATGGTGATGGTGATGATGATGTTCATGATGCTGCTGGTGATGATGATGATGATGTTGATGCTGCTGCTGCTGATGATGCGGATGAGTATGATGATGATGGTGATGGTACGACGACGATGACGTTGATGGCTATTTTGTTATTGCTACTGAGGACGATGAACGTGACATGGCCGAGGATGACACGCCGAAATCTGTAAGGGCTTCGCCCTCTGCCGCTGGCCCCCCCCTCATGCTGAGTATTGGAGGCCCTCTTGGAACGACTGGGCTGCTCGAGGCTACGTTAGGCAAAATCGCGCCGCTTGGACGGTCTCTGGTTTCCTCGGAGCATTGTGAAGGCCTTACGGCCGGTGCCGCCGACCCCGAAGACGACGACGACCAGGACGAGGAGGAGGAGGAGAAGGAGAGTGAGGAGAAGCAGGAGGAGGAGGAGGAGGCCGAGGACGCGGCGGCGGAGGATGAGGAGGGGGAGCAGGGGCAGGGGGAGGACGGGAGAACGGGGGATTGTGGAGTACCTCGGGGTCGAGGGTGTGCGCGAGAGACTTTCACACTGAGTTCGCGCGTGCGTCTTTGAATGCTCTGCGCGCTCGGTGGCGTGCTCTACTCTCCTCCTCCTTCTCCTCCTCCTTCTCCTCCTCCTCCGTAGCCTTGGCTCAAGCGGCCCTCCAACCTCCGGGTACAGCCGTAGGGTTTGGATCTGGTAGGAGGTGCTACCCATGCAGAGTCTTTTGCAGCGATTGCAAGGGGAGAAAGATGGCGAGGGAAACTTGTTCGTGACAGACAGCGCTGGTCAGGAGGCTCATGACGAGACCGCCGCAAGCGCAGGCTTCGTCAAGTGGATAGACACAGCGAACGAGTTCCGCGGGACCTCGACCATCGCCTCCACCCCCGCCGCCGCGCAGCAGACGTTTGACGAGTATCCGACGAATCTGGTGCGGACGCAAGCGCAGGGGCCCACTGACGTCACGAGACGCAATGTGGGCACGGACTTGGAGAGTACAACGGCTTATGCAGTTGATATTGCCGGGAATCAGTTTCCCGGGGCCGCAGGCAATTTTCCGGGCAATCTCCTCGTTCCTGCGTGTGGGGATTACGCTGGTCACGTGCGTGCGTACCGCACGTCCAAGCATAAGGGGCCCAAGGCGCGTAGATCCATCTTTTTGCTCAAACGCGTCATGGGCCCTGCCCCGCCGCCTCAACGCGGCGTGCTTGTGGCTATTCGCACCTCTGGAGAATTTCTTGCGGCGCGGATCGGCTAAGGGCGGGGCGAATGTTGTGTCAGAGTCAGGTTCGATCCTCCTGCTTTATTTTATGGCGTTCGTGGATGTCCGTGGGATTTATCTTCCCCGGTTCGCGGGGCTTCACAATGCATACGGTGGTCGTTTTTGTCTTTTGTAGCTGTCATGGTGCCTTCTGCTCTGTTTTCCGCTTTCCCATCACGGTGTGTGTCGCGAAGTTCGTCTACTCCTCGTTCGGCATCCCTCGGGTGTTTTGGCTGAGCCTGGCCAGCGCAAGGCAGACGTATTCTGTTTTGTTGCAGTTTCAGTTTTTGTATTGGCTGAGTGGCCCGCGCAAGGCAGACGTATTGGGGGTGTCTGGACTTGTGTACAATAATGGTGAAGAATATTCCGAGGTACCTGAGCATTTTTACTTCGTTGGAGTGCTGAGCAATAGTGGTGAAGGAGCATTTGAGGAACTGGTGCATCTATGTTGATCTTCGTGTTCGTCGGCATCGCGGTGGTGGCATTGGGGGGCGTGGTGGTCCCAGGGCAGTGTTCTTTTTCTTGCTCACTTTAGCCGGCCATGTACGGGTTGAAGTGCGTCTTCTTCTTGTTCGTCGCCTACTTCGACAAGCTCAGGTGGGGGCGTGCGTTGTTGAATCTTCGCTTCGCGACTGTTCTGACTCACTCCTTCTCCTCCTCCTCCTCCTCCTCCTCCTCCTTCTCCCCCCCTCCCAGCATAGACCTTTCTTTCCCTTCAGTTCCCCCCCCGAAACAGAAAGACTTTGACGGCGATTGGAGGCGCCCGCCTTTTTTGTTTTGTTTTTTTCGGGGGGAGGGGGGGGAAGTAAGAGAAAATCCTCATTCTCTTTCCCCCTGCCCCTCCCCGCCCCGCTCCCGCTCCCGCACTCCCCTCCTCCTCCTTCTCCTCCTCCTCCTTCTCCTTCTCCTCCTCCTCCTCCTCCTCCTCCTCCTCCTCCCCCGTCTCCCAGAAGAGACTTTTTTGACGAAAAAACAATTGATCGGCGGCGCCCGTTTTTTTTTCCGGGGTGAGAAAATCCTCATCTCCCCCTGCCCCTCCCCCTCCCGCTCCCGCACCCCCCTCCTCGCCCTCCTCCTCCTGCTCCCCCTCTTCCTACTCCTCCTCCCTACTGAGGACTTCCTACCAAGGGCTTCATGTGACGATGCAGAGCTTGGCCATGGGCTTACCAAGGCTTACCAGGGCCTCCCAAAGCTTAACAAGGACTTGCCAGGATTCGCAAAGCTTACAACAGGGCTTACTAGGACGTACAATGGTTTCACGACGTTTACCAAGGCTGAGCAGGGCTTAACTGTGTTCAGCAATACAAATCAGCGTTGGGCAAAGATTGCCATGGAGTAGCAATGCTTAACAGAGCTGAGGATGGCCCATCAGGGTCTAACATGGCTGAGCTAGGCTGTGCAGACGTTACCAGGGCGCAGAAAAAGGCTTATCAAGGTTTCAGACTGCGCACCAGGCCCACGCGAACTTAGCACGGCTTGCCAAGCGTGGCAGGGCATCGCAGACTTTACCCAGGCATAACAACACTTACTGGAGCTTAGCAGGGCTCAGCATGAACCGGGATTCAGCAGGGCTTTGCAGATATTGCCATGGCGAAGCAGTGCTTAGCAGGCTCAGCAGGGCGTAGCAAGGTTTTCAAGGCCCTAGAAGGGCGCTCAGCAGGGCTTACCAGGTTTGAGCATGGCTTAGCAGGGCTTAGCAATGCTCAGAAGGGCTTAAGGCTTCGCGAAGCTTAGCAGGGCTGAGCAAAGCTTGCCAGGTCCGAGCAAATCTCAGCAAGGCTTACCATGCCCAAGCAGGGCTTAGCAAGGCTTACCAAGCCCAGCTTGGCTTAGCAAGCCTACCACGCTTGCCCATGCTGAGCAGAGCTTGCCAGGGTTCAGCGGGGCGTATCAGGAATTAGAAGGGCTTAGCAAGGTCTACAAGGCCTTAACAAGGCTTACCAAGGCTTAGCAAGGCCTGCCAAGTCTTCGCAGGGCTGAGCATGGCTCATCAAAGTTCAGCAGAGATTAAGTCTTTGCAATGATAAACAGGGATGGGCAAACTTGGCAAGGCTGCGGAGGGCTTAGCTGGGTTTCGGAAGGATTACCAGTGTTTGACAGCGATTGCCAGGGAGTAACGATTCTTAGCGTAATCGAACATGGCCTAGCAGGGTCTACGCTTACGAAGCTGCTCAGTAGGGCTTAGCAAGGTTAGCAAGGCATTAGCAGGGATTGCCAAGTCTCAGCAGTGCTTGGCAAGGTTCAGCAACGCTCAGCAGGGCTGACGATTTCGCAGGGCTTAGCAGGGCTTGGCAAAGCTTGCAACGGTTAAACAAGGCTCAGCAAGGCTTACCAAGCTTAGCAAGGCTTAGCAAGACTTACCAAGCGTAACAGGGCTTTCCAGAACCTACCAGGGCATAACAAACCTTACCAAGGCTTAGCAACTTTGCAGAGCTCGCCAGACTTAAGACTGCCTAGTCGGGCTCAGTAGGGCTTGGCGCAGCAAGGCTCAGCAAAGCTCATCAGGACTTGAAGCTATTCTGAAGCTTGGCAGGGCGGCGCAAAGCCCGCCAAGGATGAGCTTAGCAATGCCCAGCAGGGCTTACCAAGGGTCTAGCAGCCTCTAGTAGGGCTTAGCAAGGCTTACCAAGGCTTAGCAGGGCTTAGCAGAGCCTATCAGGGCTGAGCAGAGCGCGGCAATATTTATCACAGCTTAAGGGCTTGCCAGGGTTCACCAGGGCTCAGCAAAGGTTAGCCAGAACTTAGCATGGACAAACAAAGCGTAGCATGGCTTAGCAAGTTTAGCAGGGCTGACGAATGCTTACCAGGGCGTAGCAGGGCCCAGTAGACCTTGGCAGGGCTTAGCAAGGCTGGGCATGGCTTAGCAAAGTTCATCTGAGGTTTGCCAGTGGTCGCCCAATTTTAGCAAGGCGTGGGAACTATTACCAGGGCGTGCCAGTACTTTCCAGGACCGAGCAGACGAAGACGGCCAACGAATGGCATACTGAGCTGACTAGTGAAGATGCCGGACACCTGCTGTATAATTTGAGAGGGTAATGGGAGACCGAGGGAGAGAAACAACAAACAATGAGGGATAGAGAGAAAGAGCGAGAGAGAAACATATCTAGAGGGATACATACATATATAGAAAGAAAGAAAGAGAGAGAGAGAGAGAGAGAGAGAGAGAGAAAGAGAGAGAGAGAGAGAGAGATATAGAAACAAGAGAGAGGGAGAGATAAATATACAGACATAAGGTTAATGATGAAGAGCGGAAGAAGGTTACGACAACTTTTCACTCCTCTGGAACACAGAGGTACTCCACAATCCCCCAGCATTTTGGGGAGAATGAGCAGTAGGAGGGCGAGGAACATGGGAGTTGGAGGAGCAGGAGAAGAACGAGGACGCGGAGGGGGGGCAGAGGAATGGCAGGAGGAGGAGGAGGAGGAGGAGGAGGAGGAGGAGGAGGAGGAGGAGGAGGAGGAGGAGGAGGAGGGAGGAGGAGGAGGAGGATGGGAGGAAGAGGTCGAGGTAAGGTTTCGG